CTAGCAGAACTCAGATCAGTATTCCGATACTTAGATTTGTTAGTTATCTTGTTAGCCCGGCCCAGCCTCTCCTTCACATTGCTAGACTTGTGAGTTATCTTGTTAGACCAGCCTGGCTTTTCCTTCACAATGGGAAAACATTTGAAGAGTTCCCAGGTGATAACTCGTACAGATCTTTCTAGCCACAAAGGGGAAAATAGGGCACAAATTGTCTTTATCCAATCCAGTGATGGATTTTAGAAACATTGATAGTAGAAGTACTAAATAGTTTCTCTCTCTTGTTTGGATGCAGCATGAAATACAGATCACCTATAGTGGAGCCAAGTTTCCATCTAGCATTATTTTCCTTCAGATTAAAAAACTTCTGTTAGCATTTCTTGTTCAGCAAGTCTGCTGGCGATGAATTCCCTTAGTTTTTGTTTATCTGAAAATGTCTTTATCTTACTCTTGTTTTTGGAGAAGAGTCTCAGTGGATATAAAATTCTCTGTCTTAGGAGCTCTCAGACTTAGTGGATTAAAAAGCATACATGAATACCACTGTTGACCTTGAAAAGCCCAAAGATCCAGTTATTTTAGCAGCAAAACGAATTTATTCAGGAATAGCAGAAAATTGCCACTGGGACAAGCAAACTATGGCAAACCACAGGGAAGTCCAGAGAACATAGGAGAGAAGCTTGCTTTCACAGAGGAAAGGAGGAAATTGGGGAGGTTGTGGTGGTTCTTCGTTGGCTGCAGTCTGTGGGCAGCTTGCTGTCACTGGGTCAGGAGGAAATCTTTCTCCTGCTGGGGTCTGAAAGCTGTGGCAAGTGGTACACATGGGAGAGGTCCCAGGCGAGCAATAAATCTTTCTCCTGATCTCTGGCTTGGTTATGTCTTTTGGCTTGACACCCACCAAGAGGTGAACCCAGCTTCCCGATGTAGAAAGAAACCCCTTTGGAGCTTTTCTTTTCTGACTAAAAGCAGAGAATTCTGCCAACTCAGCACAGACATAAGATCTAAACTCACGAGTTAAACACACCTTTAAAAATTCACCATTACTCAAAGCCCAGGGCACTAGTGTGCTGTTTCTGACCATCTCCCATTAAAGTCTAGGGTGGGAGTTTCTTAACATGTGGATTTGAGATGAGGGAAGGGGACAGGGCCCAACCATTAAAAGAATGACACAGCAATTAGCACCAAGATAGCGGAAGATTCAACTCCCAGTGTGAAGGAAAAGTGGGCTGGGCCTACTCGCAAATCTAAGTGTAACAAGTGTTGGATTACTGATCTGAGTTCTGCTGGGCTAACTCATAAATCTAAATTAATAAATGTCGGTTTGCTAATTCCCTGTTTATGTTGTGGTTTTTTTTTTGCTAGCCAGCTGATTTTCAAAGAGACCTATCTGGCCTTGAAATGTTGGTTTGCTGCCTTTTTCAAAGAGACCTATCTGGCCTTGAAATGTTGGTTTGCTGCCTCCCTGCCTCTACTTTTGTGATAATGATGCTGCTAAAGCTGTTCCATGCCTATTGGCTGAAAACCCCAAGCTTGTAATTAATCCTATAAAACCTCATGCATATGTCTTGGAGGTGCTCAGTGCTTCGGAGCAGAAGCCCCTCTGAGCCTGCCGGCATAATAAATCTGAGTGGTGCTTGTTTCTTGGCTGGCCTGTCATTTCTGTAACATCAGTAGATCTTGAGGCCCCAAGATGGTGGGAGATTCGGACTCCAGTGGACATTGAGCTTCTTTACACACACTGTAATGTATCAGCATGGTGAATGACACACCCGCAGGCGCCATAACAGTTCCAAGCCTAACCGTGAAAGGTCAAAGAGAGGGCAGGGGCCCATTCCTGGGAATCCTAGCCCTTTCCCAAAGTAGTTGGAATAATCCTCTCACTTGTTAGCATATAAAAACTAGCAGCATATAAAAACTAGTAACACCCATAACTTGAAGCCTCTTTTACTCCCCCACCTTCTGAGATGGCCGGCACTCTGTGAAGTGTGTATCTACTTTTACTTTAAACTGAACATACAACCCTGCACCTCTGGCCTTTCTCTTGCCTTCTGGGATAGCCTTCACTGTGTTTGAAGTGTACATCTCTCTAAATAAATCTACTTTTACTCAAGTATGGCTCACTCTTGAATTCTTTCCTGAGAGAAGCCAAGGACCCTGACTTGGCGGGGTGCATCCCAGGGACTCCATGGAGACCTGGAACATGACCATGCTTTTGCGCCCCATTTTCCGGTATCAGTGAGAGATTTCGACAAACTCCTTAGAAGCCTGTGCAAGCACCCCTACATTTGCATTCAATTTCAGGTTTAGGGCTAGTCCCTGATTCAGTAGTTCTGGGGTCTCTGCTCTCCCTCTTTTACCCTGGAAAGTGGTCCTCATTAAGTACCATCCTCTCCATGCATCTTATGTGTTCATTCCCACTGTTACGGAAACAACAGGCCAGTCAAGAAATAAGCACCACTCGGAGGGTTGGAGTACTCAGATGTATTACGCTGGCGGGCTCAGAGGGGCTTCTGCTCTGAAGCTCTGAGCACCTTCAAGATGTGCACATGAGGTTTTATAGGGTAAAGTACAAGCTTGGGGTTTTCGGCCAATAGGCATGGAACAACTTTAGCAGCATTATCATCACAAAAGTGGAGGCAGGGAGGCAGCAAACCAACATTCCAAAGCCAGATATGTATCTTTGAAAACCCAGCTGGCTAGCAAAACACATGAACAGCAAACCAACACTAATTAACCTAGATTTACAAGTTAGTCCAGCAGAACTCAGATCTATATTCCAATACTTAGATTTGTGAGTTATCTTGTTAGACCAGCCCAGCCTCTCCTTCACATTCCTAGACTTCTGAGTTATCTTGTTAGACCAACCCAGCTTTTCCTTCACACCACCCCTACCCTCCTCAGGAACTGCAGCCTCTCCTTTATGAAGGTCCTACTTTGAAGTTCAGCTTAGATTAGTGGTGAGGGTGGAGGGGAGCTAATGTGTAACTAGGTATAGATCAACCTACATTCCTTAAAAATTGTGCCCAAGGCCCTACCTGCCTGCCTCCTCCCCACTCCCTCCACCTCCCAGTATTTCCCTGGAAAATAAGGGACTGTCAAGAAAATTTGTGCTTCACAGGAAAATTATAGCTCACCCTTTTGTGTCATCTGATTCTGATAATACTATGAGAGCTATTTTACAACTCTGTAAACTGTAGATAACTGAAAGCAATAGAAAATAATTCCCATCTACAGACATGCAAATTAATTCTGTCTCCCGGTGGGGCATTTTCTCCCTCCCCAGTTCCCTCCCCCCACCAACCTCAACCTTGTAAAAGCCAGTTTTGGCTTT